TTTTTAATCTAGCAAGTATGAAACATGGTGTCAAAATTGCTGTTGTACACTGTAATGAGCCTAATTATATCATGACAAATTTTGCCTTGAAAGTTGACACTTTTTTTATTGCTTTGTAATGGGAATATGTGGATATGCCAGTTCAAATTACATACAGTTTATGCAGATAATTTTGGTTGCATGTAAAGAGACATTTTTTACTTGAAAAAACGGAAGTGTTCTTATGAATCAGTGGTAGAAACACCAGACCTGGGTTCTGGTCCTACTTCTGACATATTTTTACACCTTTGTTTTAGTCTGTATTTTAGCCGATCAGAGCCGAATGGGAAGTCAAGCTGTCTATTTGTACAGAAGTTATCCCACTTGAAACTTGTCACTTCAAATCATGTTATGTTAAACTATTTATTTATGATGGAGTAGGTAGTAAAATACAGCTCCTGGAATATTTATCACTTTTAATCTTGTTCCTATTTGATCATCCTTAAGACACAGTCCTACTCATTCAGAAAGGATTATGAGTAATAACGTGATGGCATCTGTGTGTTGTAGAAGCTGCACGTCATTTCACACCAAAACACACTCGAGGCCAAGGGCAGCAGAGGGTGTGGGTTCTGTGAGTCCAGCCTTGCACTGCTCAATTCAGAGGCCTGCAGTCCCTAAGGTAGGACCTTGGGAACACTTTTTAAATGCACCTGCTGGCCTGAACGGTGATTGCAGGGAAATGGCACTAAAGGGAAGGAGGAATTCCTGATCACTTCCTACACCTGTGCAGCCCTGCAAGAGCCCCATGCGAGAGAGAGAAGCCTAAAGACTATTAGGAAGCAGCCTGGAAATGAGGCCGCTGAGAGGGAGATCAAGACACACGAGCAGAGTTCTGGCCCTCCAGTCACCATCACAGGTAGCCAGCTGTCATGCACAGGGACCTGCAGTGATTGCAGGTGTTCTTCATCCAAAAACAGGGCTGCACACAGGTGGGGGGAGACTTGACTTAGGCTCTTCAGTGACCCAGCCTAATGTATTTAGTGTGCAACTAGTGCCAGATTTTGTATTCCTTGTACACCTAAAAATCACGTGCAACCATGTTACGCCGCTCTACTGCTTGAGAATAAAATTGTCCAAAGTTCTTAGTCAGCAGTGCTCACTGGGCTCACTGTTAGAAACTGTAGCAGCTCACATAATGCCATCTCAGGACTGGTGACTGTTTTAGGATGAAGTCTGAAAACATGGTCCAAGCATTTTAGCTGCATAAAATGCAGATACCTTGTTTTCATCAGTACAACCTCCTAATAAATTTTTATCAACATAATTTACTTGGGAAAAGCATCTGCATCCAGGCTAAATAAGCAACATGACTGATTGAAGAATTTCAGTTTTAAGTATTTCCATCTGATCAACATTGCTTTACTTGGGTTGTTTCACCTGAAGATCACTGTCAGTGTTGCTTTTGTTGTCACATTTCTTACTATTATACCAAATGTGTGTATGTTTAATACCTTTTCAGCTTTTCTTACCTCAAACACATCAGGTTTTAATAGGTCTGTAGCTCTGACTAAAACAAATAAAAGGAAAACTGGATTTGAATATTCAGGTAAATGGACAGTAATTGGGATTTTGACAATAACCACAATAAGTGGTCATGACCACAAGTTCTGCTTTCTGTGCTTCCTTGTGTGCTGCTTTTAAGGATAAACTGGGCTAATAGTATATTTGGGGAAACAAAGCACCATCCTTGCAAGCTTCCACTACTACATCTCTTTTGGTCATCTTTTAATTAGGCAAAAGTTATTCATTCCCAAGTTCGGTTCTTCATCTTTGCTGCCCTTTCTTTTTATGAAGTTGCACTTTCATGCGAATGGGAGGCTGCTCCCAATAACCCTGTGGGCTCAGGCTGCGGCTGGAATGAAAGGGAGATCCTGTGTGAGTCACTGCTGTACACGCTGACTCCAGTGCAGGACAGGGCAGTGGCTCATTCCTCCCAGCAGTGCTGGGGGTCAGGCCTGCTTACAACACAGCCTGTTTGACTCAAGCTGAAAGGGACTGAAAGAACATCACTGGAGGTGGTGAATGGAGTAAACGTGGCTTCAGATTGCAAGAATATCCTGTTTTCTCTTATTTGCCCTGGGAGTAAGGTTCAGACATTATTCAAGACTTCCTCAGAGCATTTTATACCTTCATCTGAAATGGTTAATTATGGTTATTTGATGTTTACAGCCTATCTACCTGAACAATTGCTAGTGATTGTTTTCTGTTCTGTTACTTTAGCAAACTTCAGGCATTTGCTCTGCTACAGGATAATTTTTTTCTTACCCCATGGTCACCTTATCTTCTTATCACCTTGTCATTGTTCTTATGTGGCTAAACCTTTCTGTTCTCTTTGCCTAGTTAAAATGCAAGTCTGAAAAGGTGTCTGTAAAAACGGCTTCTTCTTTCTGTGCCTGGGTTAAATGATGTTTATCTTTTGCCTCTCGTGGAAGCATTAAACTAATGAATTGTCAAAGAATATGATTTACATTTTCTGGTGTGTGTACCTCTCAAAAAAGCTCCTCAAAATCTCCACATTGAAGTAGAGCTGAAAACCTGTGTAATTAAACTGTTAGCAGTACAGAAGACTAAACCAAACTAAAGGACTACCACAGCATGAAAACTGAAAAACACCCCAGTGGAGAGAAAGAAGATGATAAGTGATATTTAGAAGAGGGTGCTAAAAACTTAGCTGAATTAAAGCTGTTAATGAAAACCAACTGTTCAGCCTGGCATTAAGGTCTGAAGGTGAAATTGCATTGTCGTCCCACCTGTCTCTTGGTGCCCACCCTGGTTCCCTGATCATCCAAACAGGACACCAGGGTAGGGCATGGAGCAACTCTTCCTGATCCTACAGCCTCATCTGAGTATTGAATTATATAATGTAATATTACATATATGAAATATAATAAGGATTTCTAGATGCAGATTAAAACGTCATCTCTCAGTACACAAACCCTTTATTTCTGTTTGTGAGCAGCACCAGTGAAGCACAAGAGCACAGCTTCACCTGTAACTGGAGAATGTGCATTCCCATACCTGTCAAAGCCCTAACTACCAGTGTTAAACAGCCCATGGAACACTTTATAACAGCGAGACATCAACACCACTAACCCATTAATCATTCACCGTGACCGTCTCACACAGAGAAGTATTTTTCTGAAGGTCTGTTAAAGCGGGTCAGAACCACACCAGCATGGAGGCACAGACTGTTGTATCAACCCTCTACCTTCTTCCACACCATTCCAGAAGGGCAGGTTTCCAGCTACTTTAGGCTTTCTTCCTAAAAGCACCTTGCATTTTTAACTAGCACTTTGAACCAGAGTGCTCCTTTAATTACCGACTGGATCTTATTCTTCATTCCAGCAGACACACACTGGGCAAAGTTCTACCCAAGTTCCCAAAACTGCTAATTTCTTTTTTAATATTAGACCTACAAACCCCATGCCCAGTGTTAAATATTTGAATCTTCATAGGTTAGTGAGGTAAGCAAACATCTGATAATTAATCATGAGAGCTCAGATACAAAAGCAGAACGTGCTGTCACATCCCTCACAGATACAACACTCACTGGGACACGGCTGGTTCCCAGAAAAACTATCTGCTGATTGCACACTGTGGTTACTGGAAAAGCACAGGGTCCCATCCAGGTTAATTTCAGCAACAGGAAAAGAATGTTCAGTCCTTAAAGAATATTGCCATGTAGTAAGTTCTAGGCCTGAGAACCAAACATCTGAAGAGATGACAGTTAACAAACATTCACTTTTGAAATTACTGATTTTTGAGACATGCTCATAAGAAAGCAGAATTCCCTTCACCCACTTAAAACAGGTGAGGATAAAACCTTTAGTAAATTATCTTCAAGCATGATTTAACAACAGAAAACATAATAAATTATTGTAATATTAGTCACAATGAAATTCCTTTCACTAAAGAGTAGTTAGTGGGTACAAAATTAAAGAATTCTGTATATGCAGTGTCCAGGATTAAGGGCAGCCAGGTTAACATACAGCTCCTACTTATATCAGATATCTTTAAGGTTCCCTGAGGGGGCTTCTCTTCCAGGATTCAGCTGGACACAAAGAACCACAGCTAAATGTTCCTTCTAAAAATACTGCATTTGGCACATAGAGCTGTACAAGGTGCAGTTTAACAGTTCAGTTCAAACCTAGAGCACAGAGATGTCACTGGTTGCCCTGGTTTCCAGTACCAGAACAAGTATGGATTAGAAAACTTTTATAATTATATATAAAATGCTCTTTAAAGGAAAGTTAAATGTACCATTTTCCACTGGAAAAAAAACCAAACATGCACATTACATTTTAAGGTGCCTAAACCTGAAACCTGGTAAACAGAAACATTTGCTAACACCTACCTCCTGGTGTGCCTGTCAACTGGTCACTCTTTCCATTGTAATTTCCTGATCTGTTAATGAATTCCTCTCCCATTTCTCACTTGGCTTCGAAAGATCCAAACAGGTAAGCCAAGTAACTAGACAGAGGATAAAAGTTACATTAATTACAGAATTCAATTCTTATTTAAAAACAGGGAAAGATTAAGCAGAAGCAATATTCCAAACCTTAGCATTCTTAAGCTTTAAAATACCATCTGAAATACGATGAAATAACTTGAAGAAAAACTATATCACAATTCTCTGAAAATAAAAAATCCTTTTCCTAAAGAAACCTGCTCCTCAATATTGTCCTTTTAAGAATTAAGAGTTATTTTTCCCATCACTGCAGAATATCCCAATTTATTTGTGTACTCCAGAAGAATCAGAGCAAGTCTTTAATTGCAGAGCTGCATTAAGCCACCTTATTAACAGCACCCTTCAAAGTTTAGGAGAGCTCACACTCACAATGGCACACTTTTAACCACACCACCTGTACAAGGCAATTGTATTTGGATCAAAACTCAGTTTTCACACTTCTGTTGTGTGAAAATCCAAGAGATTCCTTAGGCTTGAAAGAACTCTGACATTTCTCCCAAAGTAACTTTATTGCACAATTCATACACAAAGTTTATTACAGTGGAATGTCCTTAGCCATTAATACGATCTCTAATGTTTAAATTACAATTTCACATTAAACCTGTAAGAAATGTTCACTTAACACAAGAAAGTTAATTTGTTGTAATGCCCCCCACTAACAGTTATTTGTAGTAATTCACATTTTCAAGGTCTAGCTTCTGGAACTCATTGCCATCTCCATGCCAGTGGGATTCCTTTTCCAAAATTTTTTACTAAATGTCGCCCTTCAGACTAAGTAATACCAACCAAAACCAAATTACTAGTTTGTCAGTGTTAATATACCTATTATTCCATATAACATACAGTACATATATTTTACAAGGCACACATTACAGTACCTACATCACAGCAGTGTGAATTACAGCAACTTAATTTAAAAAAGCTGTACAGAATACAAAGTTTACTTTTTCACTATTTAAATAATTTTTGCATTAGTTTATATTGTAATTGCAAGTGTCATTATGCTGCAATTAACAACCTGTTTGCATCATTATAAAATTACAATTTAAGAAGTTCATGTAAGTTCTCAGCAGAAAGTCAACTTATAAAATCTCAGTTCAGAAGAATAATTCTTCAAATACTTGAAAAATAAAGTTAGCTTGAAGCTTTCATTTAGATGTTCTTTCTGTTCCAGTGATATAAAAAGTTTAAAAAATTCAAAGGTTGTTTTAGAGCTCTCAGCATGGACTAATGCAAGCTCAAAGAGCAAAAAGAAACCAAAGTAGTGTATGATTAGAAACATTTGCAAATGTTTTAGTGGAAAATCCTGGGCCATTACAATTTTCAGCCCAGACAATGACTGCCTTTAACAACCAAACTGTTTTTAACAACCAAGCACTCCATACATTTTCTGAAGAATATCTCATTGCTATCAATGGCTTAACAAAGGTAAAAAAATCAGTTCTAAGCTATATACACTCCTAAATGGATTTTTCCATAGCTAAATACAGATTTACACACTAAGCCATACTGGCTTTCAGATAACAGACACAGGAAGAGTAGGTTGCTTATCTGTCTTAAAGTCTATACATTTGACAACTGTGCCACAAGCCAAGCTCAAACAGGTGCCATTTGCTGTGCACATTCTTTAACAAACTGGAGTATAATAGAGAGGTTCTCAAGATCTAGTTCACAATGTAATTAAATTACTTTGTAGCCAATTCAGTAAAATAACCAAAATGTGCACATGCCTTTGAGTTCAGAACCTGTCTGGGACAAAAGGCCTTACCTTATGGCATCACTGAATTTTAACAAGTATGGTAAATAAAAACGCAGTCTTACAGTAAGCAAGATTTATGTTGGTATTCCATCAAATGCTACATTTGAATATTTTAACTCAAGGCTATTGAGTGAGAAAAAGTAGTTATTTGTTAATATACATTAAAAACATTATTCATTAATTCTCTACAGCAGCAGTTCACTTCCCTAACACTATTTATGCAAAAGAGGCTTGGGATGGGTTTCCTGAATAGTTAACAATTGTGGACTGCCTAAACTGAGCTCTTTAAAGATTTTACTCTGCTAGACACAAAATGCCATTGCACTCCAGTTGTGAAATCCCTTTTCCCAAGCTGTCACATGCACATCTCACTGCAAGCAACATTACTGTTGAAGTCTCCCTCTGCTACATAAAAGCATATTGCACTTGTAGATAAAAAGCACAGCACCCTTAGATTATCTATCACCTCCTAACTCTTCGTATACCTTAGAACTCTGATTTCACCACTTCAAAAACTCGAGAGGAGCAGATAAAACCACAGCATCAGACTAAACTACACCTCATTTGCTAATTCAAATAAAGGCATTCTCTTCAGACATGCCCAGTGTTTAGAAATAATTTTGGCTGTTTTTTATCAAAAACTATAGAGAAACTGATTTACTGGTTTTTAGGATTGTGTATGAAACTGTTTAATCTTTCCAAGCTAATAAGACTATGCTAAACATCATATAAAAATAGGCTAAGAGATAAGTCTTGTCAGAAGAATAAGGAAAAGTGCACAAGGACATGTACGGAGCTGCCTACACTCTCCAAAACAGATTTAAAATAATTAATGCTAAAAGTCATAACAGATCAGATCGATACAAGTATCTGTAAACCCTAAAAGCAGCAAAAACTGACTACTGAAGAACAGGCAGTGGGACATCTTCAAGTTTCAGCAGTAAAATTTCAAATTAACAATCGCTAGTGCTAACTCATCATCTTTATTCACGTGACACTACAAGGGACTGCAGTTAAGGGCAAGAACTGTGAGGTCAAGCCAAGTTCATCTCTGCAGCAAACACTGTGCTGTTCAAACAGCAATTAGCAGTTGCAGTTGTGCTGTTACGAATTGCTTCATCTAGCAGTTGAACTGTTAATATCAAAAGAGTTTACTGAAGGTACAGTTTGATCATTAGGGTTGCACACACACACAGACTCGCTCATACACCCAGTGTTTGACGGGAGCAGCGTCGATTCCCAGCGGCCAAGAGGAGACGGAAAAGACGGACTCTGGAAGAGCGGCAACGGGAGGTAAAAACAGACGTCCATGAAAACGAAAGCTTCAAGAGGCTCTGCTCTGCTCTGCTCAGCCTGGCCAGGGTCAGGGTCTGTGGGGCTGGCCAGCCTCATCCACCATGTTAAGGATGTAAGTGGCAACATCGTCTTCCGTAGGCGCGTCTGAGACCACCCAAGAATCACCCGCCCCAGTCACTTGCCGCCGGCACACAGGGCAGTTCCTGTGACGGTCGCTCCTGTGAGGAAGTCAGAGACATGAGGATTTTTCACTGATGGTGAAAAATCACCTTCCTGGCCAAAAAAAGCCAAAAGAGCCCCCAAACAGACAAACAAAACCCACACAGAAACCAAAAATCAACTCAGTGAGAACTTCAAGAATGATGATGTTAACTGGACTAGACCACCTATCTATTTTTTTCTTTAAAAACTTTGTGAGGAGGACTGGCCAACAATTCTGAGTGGAGCTCCACTGGAGCGAAAATTTGGAATCATTTGCTCAGGTTAAGCAGAATGCATCTAGCTACCTGTCCAGAAAGCTTAAATGGAAATCCACAGTCTAAATTTATTCTTCCTATCTTCAGATATTCAGCTGAGGCACTGCAGAAACCAGACCCCATAAGCTTCCTAGGTAAAGAGAAGGACCCTTCTTCCTGGGGAAACACTAAACTTCATTGAAGTTTGGACCTGGTCCCTCAGGGCCCCATCCCCTTCCACCAACTCAGGGGTCCCAAACAACAAGGTTCTAAGCTGGGAGCCTCTGTTATATGCCTAAATTAAGAAGAGATGAACATTAAAAATTGCCTACCGAAAAAAGAAAATGGTATAACTGGAACTTAGTTAGGAATGCAGCTGATTCATCAGCCAAAGCAGCACAGGATCCACTCTCCACCACAGTGGTTAAACTAAGCCCTGTCTTGCTGATGGATGTTCAGATGTTTTCCCAGAAGAGAAAGATGACTCGTTATATTCTGAGGTCCAGTGATGTTTTTACTATGGTTTTTCCTTGGAGGAGCATGGTGTTGTAAGAATAACTTCTTTGGTGTTTGAGAAGCCACAAAACAAAATTCTTGTGCACAAATCATATACAAAATGATTGGCAGTAACTAGGTAAAAGAAGGCCTTTAGCAGAGCATGTGTGTAGCCCAGACTGCCAGCACACCTGCCCAGTCCCTGCACACCTGCACGGCCAAGGAAGAGCTCTCTGCTCCTCCACACAGCAATGTCTCTCTCAGTTTTCCAAAACTGGAGTATCAGAGAGACCCAGAGGCTGAAAAGCTGCTCAGTTTACTGTGAAGCTGAACATAACATTGTAGGGTACGTGTTATACAGAAATTTGAAGGTGCTACCATTGGGAAGAAATCTTTTTCTGGAAAAGTCTGATACATTTAGATCAGTAAATGGCATTTGAAGTGAAAGCATAACATATAGAAAAAAATCCCTCTGGTAGTTATTTCCCAAAGGAGTGACAGACAGCCCAACTTGCCTTCATATTTGCATAGTCTTACAAGTTCTGAGATTTCGTGAAGCATAACATGCCAGCATCTGCATATACTGTCTTCTCTAGTTTTTGAGCAAGAATAAAATGATTTAATTTTAGAAGAATAAAAAGGCATAAGAAAAATGCTGAAAAGCACTTTCACATCTCTTTTTTTCCAAATAAAATTCTTTGTAAGGTTTTAAAACCTTGCCTTCCTTCTGCTGCAGTCCGATTTTACTCAAGCTTATTATGTATCACATCTACATTATCTTGGAAATATCTTCAGATAATAAATTATATGGGAACTAAGGAATTTGTCAGACAACCAGCACATACTGCAAAGTAATTACAATTCTTCACTATGCATTACCATTTATCGATGCATTTCTGGCAGAAACTGTGAGCACACGGCAAGATTAAATCAGCGCGCCCGTCCATGCAGATGCAACATTCCTCTTCATCTGTCAGCTGCTTAACCCTGCAGAAAAGAAGACACTAGTTTATTCCAGAAGTTTTACATTTACACCCTAGTAACTACGTTTTTCATAATAATTAGTGATGCAAAAGGAACACCTGTGCTCGTAACTTGTGAATGGAGTAGTTCTGTCAGCCTAGCCGATGTCAGCAGACACCGCCCCAAGCTGCCAGCAAACAGCAGTGGGTGAACTAAACTTACAATATGCTTCTATTCTTTTGTGCCAGGTGTTGCAAAAGGGTTCTGCAAATCCCTTTTCAGAGGGGTTACCAACAAGGAAGCCTGAGGAGTTGTAACTGTTCCATATCATATGACTGGGCAAATGAACAGAATCACTGTGTACATGAAAGGCAGGAGAACCTGCCTTCCGCTCACAGCGTGTCAGGCTCAACGATTTCATAATGAGCTTTGCCAAATTTCTGAGTGCTGGCTTATGTCCTAGACAAAAACATGCACGTCAAGAGGATCCCTACTGGAATGCACGTTCACTGACTTCACCTGCCACCAAAATGCCAGGAGCTAAGCCGCTCGTTGCACTGCTTGCAATACACTCAGCATGACAGTTCCTCAGATTAGGAATCTCAAGTGGACTGTTACCACAGCTTTTCCAGTTAAGCTCATAGGTGTTCCCGTTGGTGGGGAAGTTTAAAAATCAGATCCCTCTCTGAGACAGACATTGCTATTTTATCTATCTTTATTTTTTTCCCAAGCAATAGAAATGTTTATGTAAAGTCCCTAACAGCAGTATCTCAAATATTAGCATCATCAAGACTTTTGAAGCGTGAAAAGGTGCAGAGAATGCTCAGCTTTCACTGATTTAGACATGTAAAGTTCCCTAATTTTATAGGCATGCCTCACTTCCAAAACAACCAAGTGATCTGAACTGCTTAGGTGTTCCAAAAATCCTGATTTGGGAAACCCTTTTCTGACTCGAGGCACCAAGACAGCATTCTAGAATGCATAGCAATCTAGGAGAGACAGTCACCTTAATTAATGACCAGACCCCTTCTGCTTAGGCATCTGGTGAGCTTGTCAAATCCAGCCTCATTTTTTAACTGTACAGACTAGCCAGCTAATAGACTGCAGTCAACATGCTTGTTTTATTTTTCTGTAGGTCCTTGGGGTTCCCTTTTCAACTTGCTTTTTGAGATCTTACTTCAAAATCATGGGAGATTTTTTTTACAGATGGTGATTAGCATACAGTGAGGACAGTTTCAAAAAAAAAATCTACCTTTTGAGTAGCACACTATGTTCTTTGGACCTGTTCCCTTTCATTTCCCTCCCCATGCAACTCTGAGGACTAACCTTTGAAAGCAGTTCAATTTTTGAGATTTGCTGGTGTATATACAAGCAATTATACAAGCCCTATTTATAAAGTTTCTGCAAACTAAGGTTTAGTCATAGCACTAAGTTCCTGAATAAAAGGTAAAATAAGAGCGGCAGACTAAGAAAATGCTTGTCCCTTCATATCAGAAAGCACAAACCACTTATGCATATTTTGGAATGCTCTGAATAGGAAGTGAATGTTGTAGAGAAATGGGGTATTACTCCAATGGAAGAATTAAGAAGAATGAACCAGACAAGATTTGCTCTTTTTAGAGCTGAAAAATGATTAAATGTGAGAAGAATTTAGGCAAATGGGTGATTATCTCAGAAAAACAAACAGAAGATTTTTCTGGGTGTAAAATACTTGAAGGTGCTTCAGCCTGTGTTTTCCTTAATGACTTGAAAAACTTGGATAAGACACAAGCTCACTCCATTGCACCATATTAGCAAAGTATACTCTGTTGCTATGTCACTAATCCTACCTCAAGCAATGAAGTTTACAAACAAGAAGGATGCTCATCTCCCCATCTCAAAGTGTGAAAATTGAAAAAGAAACTCACACAGGAAACCTTTTACCTTACTCATTGACTTTAGCAAAATATGGAGCTGTTTTGCACAAGTATTTGGGGTCTGTTTTGTTTGGTTGGTTTGTTTAAATGTGTGTTCCAGTATAACCTTGAGAAAGAAAAGGGAAATAAGCTTTTCGGATCATGTCCACAATGTACTACTTAATTCTAGCATTCTAATAACTTAGAACAGCCAGTAATTTGAGATTGTTCCCATATAAGAGAAACAGGAAATTAAATTAAATAAAAATAGGAACATTCTGCAATCCACTGACTTAGAAAAACCAGTGGGCTCTATCTGTGGAGTGACAGCACAGCTGACCCCTTTGGAATTCTAAGAGCTCAAGGGTGACACTCAGCTTGTTTTATTAAAATACCTGGCTACCAGCTCTTCACTGGTTAATCCAGAGAACTATACCATTTACTACTTTTTCTTGTAAAACCTATCTCTACCTCACTTAAAACTGACTTAGAACTCTGAACTAACTCAGGAAGTGAAAAGTAAGGAATTACTGGCAGCAACACTTCAACAGAGAAAGGGTGACAGGCTGGTTGCTGTTATACTCAGTTTGAACTGAAGTTACTGCAGGTGTTGACCTCAGTCTTTTGTTTTTCCTCCGGTTAACAAAGCAGAATGTCAACATGTGTGAGACAGTTCACATTTTTCCAGTCTTACAAGTTCAATTATTACCATAATTGATGAGTTTCTAGTGGCAACAGATGGGAACTTTCACATGCCAAAACATAAGAGGAAGAGAAAGTTAAAGTGGAAGAATAACAAAATCTGTTTAAACAAACACTGTCAAACCCCCTAGATTTGTAGCTGCAGCTGATTCCGTTTCCTCCTGTTTCCTTATTCAGGAGATCCAACATATACCATGTTTATATTAGAACTGATCATTAAAAGGATTGTTTTAAAGCTGAGGTATGGCAGCACCAGCAGAATTTCACCCAAGTACAGGTCCCTTAGTGCAAGAGGTGTTCTATTCATGTCTGAGGAGATGCAAAGCCTGCATCTGCCAAGGGCAAACAGTTTTGATCCTCAGGCATTTGCAGTTCGGGTTTTAAACACAACTTCCAAAATACTGATGTAACTGTGGTCAGAAGCTAAAGTATATCAAAATACCTTCCCATCCACAAGCTGGCCTGACACGGTGACAGAGACATCAAACTCTCAGAAGCTTCTTCAGAAGTATCACTCTGTGCAAGAACTCCTGCTGCTTGACTGGTGATGTCTTTATAAAGTTGAACGAACTGATATAAGTTCAAGATTCTGGAAGCTTCCACGATGCCACTTGTTTTATTTATCTTAAGACACAAGGATTGTTTACAATTACTTATCAGATTTCAACTTGACATTGCTCACAATGTTGTCAATGCACTGCAGTTCTCAGGGCAAGCAGCCACCCTCCCAGGTGCCCATCACCTCGTCAGCAGGTCGCAGTCTGCCTCAGCAGAGTTAAGAGCTGCGCACACAGCTGCTGCAGCTCGAGGAATACCACAGAGAGGACCACATTTTTAGGCCAAGGCACTTGCCATCATTAGTCAAATGGATTAAACTGTGAGTAGTGACCTAACACCTAGAAAACAGGACTAAACTTAGAACAGAGACCAGAATAACCAGCCACCTGATATTCGAACTTAAAATTTCCTACAGTGATGGCAGTTTAATGAAAACTAAGAGTACACACAAAATTACAATCTGCAGTTTCAAAAAAGGTTTGAGGGTTGGCTTGGTTAACTGCATGGTAAGATTGCTCAGGGGATTCAGAACCATTTAAGGACCTTACTTATAGGATACAGAGGGGAAAATCTCATTAGAAAGAGCACACTTTTAAAGTTAAACTTTTAACTTTTAGATTGGTTTTCTAAGGAATCAGACCACATACAGCCCCACTAGCTCAACTAATAATGTCTGGAATTGATGACTAATATCTACTATCAGACTATATAGTTCCCAGTTTGCTGTACAATCGGATAACTTGACCTCACAGATCATCTGAATTTGCAACTAAAGGGCTGTAAGTGGTAGATACCATCCCTTTGAACTTAGTTATGAAAATGCTTTTGTTAATGTGCTTTTTGGAGAAACTTATAATTTAGATTTAATATATCTCCGATAGCATCCCTAAATACATCAGCTGTACCAAAATAAAAGTAGCAGGTGCTGGATTTCACCACCAAAAGGGACAGCCCTCACATACCTGCACACAAACTGCCAATCCAATTACAATTGTCCAACTTACCTTAGTACATATGATCCGAACGATCACCTTCCAGAAGGCGGAAGTATCAGAACCAGGCTGCACTTCAAATAACAGATGTTTGTCTTGTCCAGAAGCCAATTTTGCAGTACTGAAATAAAGAAACATCAGTTTTACACCATGTGATAGACGTGCAAAGCTCAGCAGCCTCAGCCACAGTGGGATTATTTACTATTCACCTGTCTGCTCTTTATTTTTACAGAGGTTTTAGCAAGACTGCCCACAGACATCAAAGTGAAGAGTAATGACCTTCTCAGCATGTCATTAAATATAAAATACACAATCCACTTCGCTTTAAATTGCACAGCAACCTTCAGAAAATGATGTGCAAGTCTTTTGATCCATCATCAGCAAGTGTACTTTAGAGACATTTTAATTTATATAAGCTCTCACTGTTGATTACAGTAATCACATAATCTTGTATTCAACCTAAAAAGGTTATTTCCATGTATGTAAAAAAAAAGCCTGTGAGGACCAACATGTGCATATGAGGTGTATTTTGGTTAGTATATATTAACAATGATGCAGTCAGGTGAAAGTGTCAGGTGACCTGGGATTTTTCTTTTTAATTTTTTTAATGGAACACAGACATAACGGTCTATTCCATCACAATCAGAACAAGCTGTATTAGAATCAGCCTTAAGTAAACACTCTAAAGGAAAAAACACTTGAATAACAGCACTTTGGAGTTAATTATACTGATACATGCCTAGATTCTCATGCAAAACATCAAGTAATGTTCTTCAAAATCTATTTATATAATGTCTCCCCAGAAGACAGCTCTCTGTTCTTGAAGGTCATTCACAAAAATATGACACTCTCCACGACAATTTCTAAACTGAACCCAAATTCACATTTCAGTTAAACATCAAAGACTCCAAAGCCCTTATTCAGTGTTTGTGTGTTTCCACTTCATTTTACCACTATTATTTTATCGCATAAATGCAGGGTAAAAACGACAACTCTGCTTTTGTGTTCACTGCTTTTTACCATCATTGGCCTAACAAAAGGCAGGCTATGAAAAATCTTACTTATGCAGCCTTTTGTTGGGGATTATCCAGGTCACTGGTTCCCAGCAGTCAGACACGGCTCATCCTTAACGAGGAGCAGCCTCGCAGAGGGGGCAGAGATGGCCACAAACAGTTGTGCCTCAGGTGCCACCTTCCTCCTGCTGCTGGGCTGTCCTCACAGGGCTCCCACTGCTCCTTCCTACCCAAAGTGACAGGCAGAGAGGAAGCAACACTGCATCCTTGGTGGATGGTGGAAGGGAGAAGAGGAAGGGAGACAGGTAACACTTCAGCAAAAAGGTGCCGCTAAATGTCTACCTCTTGTGAACTTCTAAGTGAGAGCAGAGCTTGCTGGAAGAAGAGCATTGGAGAGAAGAGATTTTAAAGAGGAGAAATGGCTCTGGTTTTGAACTGTAATTACAACCCTTCTAGAAACTTAAAGAACTGACGGAAACATTTCAAAGCCGTATGGCCAGTTCTGGCTTAGCCAGCACAGAATAACATATTGCACATAAAGTCTCTGTAAAACGTGAAAAAAGGAGAAAGAAACAAAGAAAGGCTTACACATCATTAAGTTCAGCTACTCTTCCCAGAAACTCTTCATAGGTTAGGAAACCACTTTCTTGAACCAAAGAGGCATGCTTTGCTACTTTTTCTGGCAACTTGTTAATTACAGTTTGTGTGTGGCTTGAAATTTGTTGACCCATGGTGAAGTCCTTCACCTCAGTTCTGTAGAAAGAAGTTCTCATTCACTTGCAGAGTCTCTGCTAAAAATATTTGAGAGAGTTACGTTTGTGTGGTTTTGAGTGGCTACTCGCTTATTTTCTTTTAGTGTAAGAATGTAGCTACCAACTAACTAGTCTACAACAATTATTCTACAAGTAACACAACCTGAACAGTCAAATCAGCAATGAAGCAGAATGCCTGGAAGAGACTGGAATGTGGTATTAAAAACTTACGAAAAAAAGTATTATGTTTCTTACAGCAATACCTATATTAAAGTCTCTATATTTTTCAAACAGATTCAGCTCCAACACACACATATATAAATACATCCAATGAAATGGAAAAACAAAAAATCTAAAGATGACAGTGGTAATTTATGGCAATCTTTGTTTATCCTAAATATTTGTGCATGTGAATGCCTGCAAATTAGCACATCTACATCTGTTTACACATAGACATTACATTAGGGATCAGCTTTCTTACATCAAACTTACATTGGCCGACCAAAAGAACTCCCACAGCATTCTGAAACTGGTAAGCCAAGGAATCCATGTCAGTATAAACCATTTAGAAATCTCCCTAGCTGTCTGATAAGGATTTACCCCGTGCCTTCCCAGTCTTTATCCACTTCCTCCCTCTGATCCCTCTGATCTGACTTTCCCCCAAGTGCCCGTTTGCTCAGTTCATCACTTGTAATGCAAACCAGCGTTTCGCGCCCTTCTCCAGGCAGAGGTGTGCAGAGCCCAGCTAAGTGCAGCACACCCACCTGAGCTTAAACACAGATTAATCTGACAGCAGCTGCTTTACAAACACCTTACGAGAGACACCACCGAGAACCAGACCCTCACCCTGCCGGTACGTGTGGCTGCACTTGGGAATAAACCCACCGAGGGACACGACCTACAGCTGCTGAGATCTGCCACGGTGTGAGAACACACAGCACACAGAGCGAGCTCCCGCCAGAGCCTTCTGTGAAGTGTTATGGCATGTCTCAACAGAGAATGCACTTCCCATTTACGGCTTGAACTTCGACCGATTTCTATTCCCAGATGTGCTCCCAGTGGAGTCACTGTTCTCCTTCCCACTAACGCTGCAGTCCCCTCCTGTCCCGCGTTTGCTGAGCACACGCCCAGCAGACACACGTCAGGCACCACCTCCCAGCACCACATCCCGTCACTCTTCACAGACTCCTCTTCCCGATCTCCCGGGTTTGTGTTCCCCGCAGGTTGGGCGCAGCGTTCCCGAGGGAGCACCCGACGGGTGCGGGCCTGCCCAGCTCAGCACTTGTATCCCAGCACTGAGAAGTTTTCTGGGGGAAAAACTGCGAGAATGTCTGCACAACTGGGCACTGGAAAAGGTTCTTCCCCCAGAGGGTGGTCGGGCACCGAACGGGCTCCCGGGAGAAGCGGTCACAGCACCAAGCCCGACAGAGCTCGAGAAGCCCACGGGGTGACTCTCGGGGTGTGCTGTGCAGGGCTAAGGGCTGGACTCGGTGCTCCCCGTGGGTACCTTCCAACTCGGCACGTTCTGCGGTTCTAGAAGTGTTCCCTGCGGTGTCTCCTGCAGGTCCCGCCTCACCCGCACACCCCGAGCCGCCCCGAGGGGCCCGGGCGCGCCCCGCCCTGCGCGGGCCCTCAGGGACGGGCCGCGTCACCGCCCCGCCCCGCCCGCTCCCCCGCCCGGCCCTGCCCGCACCCTCCGGCCCCCCGGCCCAGCGCTGCGGGCGGGCGGTCCCGGCGGTCCCGGCATTCCCGGCATTCCCGCTCACCGCAGCCCCGGCTCATCCCGCGGAGCCGCCGCCGCCCCACGGGCACCGCAGCGCCGCGCACGCGCGGGGGGGCCGCCGGCGCGCGCGGGTGACGCCATCGCGCGGCTCGCGCCACCCCCGGGACACGGCGGGAACGGGAACGGGAGACGGGAAGCCGGGGGATAAGCTGGGAGCGGGGATGGGAGCGGGGATGGGAGCGGGGCCGGGCCTGACTAAACGTCCGCAGAGTCGCGTGGAAAAGACCTCTGGGATCGTGGGGTCCAGCCTCTGACCGGTCGCCACCACGTCGGCCAGACCGCGGCACCGAGTGCCACGCTGAGCCTTGCCTTGAACCTGCCGGGACGGTGACTCCGCCTGCGCAGCCCCTTCTGTGAAGGAATTCCTCCTGATGTCCAGCACAAACGTCCCCCGGCGCAGCTCAGGACTGTGTCCTGTTGTGCTGTCGCTGTTCCCTGGAGCAGAGCCCGACCCCGCCTGGATACAGCTCCTGGCGGGGCTGTAGAGAGCGAGGGGGTCCCCCCGAGCCTCTGCACTGATACCCGTCCTGTCACCCCACGAAAGTGCTCTGTAGAGTTGCTCCTTTTGGTTTTGGTGGTTTTTTGTTTGTTTGTTGTTTTGTTTTGTTTGTTTTTCCTATTGTTGTTGTTATTTTTAAAGAAACATCCTGTAGTATCTCGACTGACCTAAACAGGCTCACTTTTCTGCGCCCTTATCAGGCGCTTCTCAGTGCTGCCCTGCTCGGGGTTCCCAGCGCCCCAGGGGACGTAGGACCACCTGTACTATTCGCTTTTTCCTATAATCTCTAATAAATGGCGATTTAAATGATGCTTAATGGAGTCTGAGCGCCTGCCTCGGTGGGATCATCCCAGGCCAGCGGCTGCTGGTGCAAATCCCGGTCTGCAGGGAGGATGTGGGCGGTGGATGTGCGTGGCAAAGGTCAATGCTCACTGACCTTTTCACAAAAAAACCCAACACCCATAAAGGACAACAAGCCACCGAGGAACAGACATCCTAGAACATCCTCTGGGTCATCCACATCCTGATGTTGCAACGTTTAATTATTGATTTATTTATTTTATTTTTTTTACTTAATTTAAAGAGGAGAAAAGGAGTAGTACTTCCCCTTCCTGCCCACTTCTGTTCACACATAGACACACGTACTTCCCATGATAAAGGCACCCCTCTATTCCAGGCAGGGATTGGGCTGGACTGGGAACCTTGCTGTATTTCCTGCAGGCCGAGCACCCCTTTCACCTAAGGTCAGCAAACATCTGTAGCCTCAGTGTGGGAATCTGAGTAGTGTTACTGTCAAGTGACAGTACAAACTGTGCTCTCCTGCTCGGTGGGATGAGGTACTTGAACATAACACAATTTCTGACACATAAGGAACTTATGTTGAGAGCTGTTGAGAAGGTCTTGTGAAAAAAAAAAAAGCACAACACTTAGGAAAAGTCAGAAACATAATGAAGAATTTCTCTTAAGCTTCTGCTGCCTCCATTTGCCTTGATAGTTAAATAAATGTTTCCTGTCTGCATTGTAGTGGTACATCCCTTGCAATGCCAACACAAAATGAGCAAGAATGTTCTGTACTTTCCCATTTGAATGTGACTGAGTAGTAGTCACTACACACAGACATTATCAAATTCAGTAATTGTTTAGTACTTAGAGCTACCTTTATTACATACAGAGCAGTGTAACAGGTCCTTTATTCCTTGTAGTTTGGCATAAACTGTGTAATGGAAAGGAGAGGCAGATCAGGCCATGTGCATTGGTCAACTGTCAGTGGGAAGATCAGGATGAAAGCTGAATTTCTAAAGTACATGATAAAACAAGACACAGGTTAAGGCAATATCCTATTATAACAGCTAGTATAGATATTTTAGCAAGTAAATGCTTTAGGGTGAAAAAAGCACCCTTATTTAGCTCTAAAACAGAAGCAGCAAACTTCCAGTTAGAGTGAAACTAGAGAGCAATTCTCCAAATTTCTTTACGTGTGAATGAGATAATCTGAGAGAAAAGGAGCATGCTATCTGTGGAACAGAGGTAACGTTAGTAGGAGAGTGAGAGGTAAATAATTATCCCTTGGTGGTAGGGGAAAAGAATAGAGAAACAGGTAATTTCTAATCTCTAAAACATGGAAAAAAGAGGCAGAAGGGAGATTATAATATGTCACAAAGAAAATCAAATGTTACCTGGAGTCCACTAGCTTTGCCTGTGTCCTTGAGCCCTTTTGCTCTTCTGGCACCATCATGGCAAGTGTTGTTGTGAATCTTCCTGATGGCCTCAGTGGTGCTGCCTGCTCTCTCAGAGTGCTTTCAGTCAGGTTGCCAGGAGAGACACAAGGCACTGCTGCGGTATTTTGCAAGGAAAGCAGTTACTTATCTGAGTGGGAAGGCCGTGTTTTTAGTGCTGTCCTCTGCTGCACATTTAGCTGCTGAAGTTCTGCCCGTGGACATCTGAAATGGGTGGGTTTTTAGAGCAGTCCCGAATCACAGTCTTTCTGCAGTAGTAAGGCTTTAATGGCAGTGGTGGGCTGTGTGTCACCACGGTCCAGACTCCTGGGGCCATAAAATATGAGCGACACAGGGACTCTCTAGTGTAGCAATACACTATAACTCACTATCTAGTGAGTCATGGATTTACATGAATGAAAAATGTCAAAGTTCATAGTATCCTACACTGTTGAAAACACAATATAGTGAGCAGTTCTATTGCCAATTTATTTAAGACTGTTTTTCAAGCTTCTTGACATAAAGAGAAACTTTCTCTGTCGTAATAATCTCATTCACATATAAAAATCAGTTATCCAAATTGTTTGTTCAGGAAAATATTTGATAAATTGCTAGTGTTGTTCTTTTATAACTAATTACTTCTGTAACATTAAGGTTATATGAGTCCTTTTTACTGTGAGACAGTTTTCATGAGAATAAATTGTCCAGACAAACATACCTACCATACTTCATTTTTTATGAAGTACTGTAAACATCCCATACCACCTGAGACCTTTATTATGAAACCCACACTTAAATATACACAAAATATCTCAAATATAAGTGTTGAGATACCGATCAAGGCTTTTTTCCCTGCCCCTGTCAAACATCTGATGCAGAAGATGATACTGATTTTAATAAATAAAATACAATAGGATGAAGGTATCTAAGAAAGTTATTCTTTGCTGTATATATAGATATCAGCATCTTTGTACCCTTCCTTGGGTATTTGAATGAAGTGGGATAACCCTTTGGTTTTTCACTCACTTGTAAACAGAAATATTTCTTCTGTTTGTAAACAGACTTTTTAAAAACAGTGTGCAACTACTGAGTGGAAATAAGCTAATCTACATGAGGAATTACTACAGTATCATCATTTTATATTAGACATTAAGTTAGCAGACATCCTCCAGCTGGATATAAAAACCCTTTAATGATATATTGATCTGAATTCAATGCAAATAGTTAACACAGTGCATGTCAATAATAGCATATCCCTAATTACTTCTTTATCATAGATGAAAAATTAGCTTGTAATATGGATTTTTTTATTTATTTCAAGTAAATAAGATACCACGTTTTCCTGCAAGAATATTTGTAGACAAAGATGTAATTATTAAAAACCAAGGTTTCATATGTTAAGGTAGAGAAAATACTCATGAGTATTCACAATCACCCAAGTTTAAAAGCATTGCAAAGTTCTGTGTGCTTAATTTCATATTTCCATCAAGAATTGTACATTCTTTGCTTTAAACTTCTGCTTCTAGACATTTTACTGTGGCCTCAGGCTTAGTTTTAGACTCTTCTACTTTATTTCCATTATTCTGTGCTTCCTTCTCAGGTGTTTTGTCATTTAATTTTGCCTCTTTGAGAGCAACAGTTCCAACCATTTCTTTTTGCTGATTCTTGTTTAAAAATGGGAAGGTTTTCTTGTACCTTTAAATGAAAAAAAAAAAAAAAGATAGTAAAGCAGAAACATTGACACAGTTTGGTAGTACCACTCAAGGAATAAAGTGAAAAAGTGCTAAAATTAACTTACTCTGCCATGCTCATGCAAAAGTCTCACAGAGAATGATGGCATGCTAGATCTTTGTGCTCTTTTAAGCAGTGTGCTTTCTAAATAATTTTTTTTTTCCTAAACAATGTATATTCAATATTTGTGGTACATAATGATAAAGCTGCCTGGGCTAAGATGTGAGAAATGCATACTTTTTGATGGGATTTAGTGATGCACTGTATTGAAGATCTTCACACATGACAAATGAGCTCAACAATTAATTTTTTTCTGAGCACAGTCACAGGGAAGTTATAAAATCTTTCACATTGAGTCTGACATGGAAAAAAAAGTAGGATAAAACTGCATAAACAGGCTTGTAAATGAACAGATGCACAATTCAGTGTTGCTATTTTGGCACACTTGGAAATGTTTCACACTAGGCATGACTGACCAATCAAATATAGGCAATATTTGTCTTTAGTTCCTTTTCTAAAGCAGGGAATGGCAACAGCAACAACAAACTTATCTGTATAGCCAACAAGGTTTAAGATTTTTTTTCTTTGTGCTACACTGTTATATTGTCATCATTGCTTCTCTGCTCTTTAGCTTTATATTTTAAATATTTACTGGTTGTACTCTAGGGGTTAACTCAGACTAAGATAGAAAACCCCCCTCCAACTTACTTTTTGATATAACAGACTGCTAGAACAACTGAAATAACGAAGAAGATGATTGCCAGGACAAGAAGTGCAGTGGGGATACCTGGAGATAAAAGCACAGAATTTTATTTGTATTTCATGCTGAATTTCTACAGGTTCATGAGCATAAATCCAGATTCTTCTAAAACCAGTATGAGAACATACACATCAACTCAAGAACAGAGTTACTAGGAATCTTAAAAGTTGAGTTACTCCTCCTCATTTTTTCAAGAGAGACTAAAACAGGTATTAAGGCAATCCCTGACAGATGTTTGTCTAGTCTGCTCATTGGAGTGTTTTTGCAACCTGCCTAGAGAACACATTCTCGGGATTAACTATCCTTACAATTGGAATGCTTTTCCTGACATTTAGTCCATTTGTCCATTGCTGTGTATCAGGGTTACTCACACCTCACACCTCGAGAGCACCTCCATATTTAGAGAACAACCATTCTCCTTAAAACTGTCTTGGCTTCTTTGTTTTTAAGAGCCTGATGAATTTTCCCTTACTCTGAGCACACAGTGTTTGCTAAGGCTTTTTTAGAAATGTATTTGCCCCAAATCACATTAACCAGAATGAACTTTTACCCTTTCATATTAAAATATTATCAAAGAGTATAAAACCAGACCTTCCTTCTACTTAAAAATTATTTTAAAATCCCCTGTCTTACAAGCTTTGCTTCTGCAAAACCATAACCCTCCTCTCCTGCCTCCAGGGTCATCAAAATGGATGCTGGAGTAGCAACCAAAAATAGCAGTAAACAAATTGACCACTAATTTGTACATAACTCACTGTTCTGATTAAATAACTGCCTCGTCAGGCCTTTACCTCCGAAGACGACGGGATCGTTCTTAAAGGCAGAACGGGCGGTGTGGCTGGGAGAGTCACTGGTGGAGGATTCCTCTGGCAGTGCTGTGGTGCTCCCCTCTGTTGGGAGTGTTTCAGTGACACAAATGACACGGAATCTTCTGCTTTTCAGGAACTGCTCTGACTCGGTCACAGTGGGCACCGCTGTGATGTTCTCAGTCAAATCAGAGGCTGAATGTGGCGTTGAGTCTGTTGGTGCACTTGATGAAGGAAATGTGGTTGTGGTTGGGTCTGGTTTACATGAATTAATCTGGACATCTGCAGCAGGGAAAGGAAATACATGAACAGCTGTGTTGGGTGCTAGTTTTGTACTTACTGCACACACATTTATTGAAATTGTCCCTCAGTCATTCCCTTCTGGAAATTATTATTTGTTCACAAAAGCCTTACCCAAATCAGCCATGGCCGTTTCAAACATGGCATTACAACCCAGATTATGCAGCTTTTATCGTTACTTACATAGTTAAACTCTTTTGAGCAAGTGTAGCACTCATTTTTTGATTGCAAATCAATGGCAAGATTCCCCATGGACATATATAACCTCCTGCAGAGCAGGAGACTTGATTACTGCAGATTTAATGTTCAAAAATATTTCCATGATACGATGTACATGCTCAAAACATAATGCATGCCCTGTTGATTGGAAAACTGATTCGGTATCCTGGAAACAAAGCTAGCCCATAAAACTTTCAGGTAAATCAGGCATTAGTGTGAGATAATAAAGAGGCATGGTTTTAATGGGATGGGTAGGGCTAGGAAGATACAAACTTCAGGTTTGAAGAAAAAAAAGTAATTTTCAGAAACTGAGTCATTTAAATGAAGTGAGTGTTGTCTAGATAAAAATGTAGGTGCAAGGGAAACTTTTTATGCAAGTGGAAAAGCTGAATTCCGAATCAGGCTCACGTGAAAACGTGCAAATTCTTGTTTGCCAGTGAAGTTCTGTATTCTGTAAAGCTATAAAAATTTCACTAAGGTAACAACCCAATTACAACATAAATAACAGGGAAACGACGATTGCACTGTTGTCCCCATGAATCCCCCCGGGAAGCCTGATGACGCAGTTACAGTCACAGAATGAAAAGATAAATGGCAGGACCTTTTTATTTTTTCCATTATGGTTTTCAAGAGCTTTTGGCTTTTTTTTTTTTGGCACAAGAAAATTGACAGGATGAGCTTCTGACAAATATTTTGGGTAAGAAATGCCTAGAACAGGCAACAGTTTGGAAGTTAAGATAAATAAATGCAGGATCATGCCAATGTTAAATATACATTAAATTGTCCTCTAACCATTTGGGAAGCTTAACTTTCTTCACATACTCTAACACTATAATATATATATAATTATTATTATTTTAAAATTTAAGATAAACAAAGCAAGTAATTTGAAACTACTTGCTACCTCTTTAACGTTATTCAATTTACCCAACATTTCTGATGCAGAATAACATATATTTCATGCACTGAAACACCATGTTGCATAGGAACAGAAGAAATAACACAGCCAATAGGAGCAGTTTCTTTTGGAGCATGTTGCCATAGCATGAATACATCAATGCATTCATCAATAAAAGCTCTGAACTGTGGAGAAAAACTAAATTAGCCCAATCATGTAATTTTTAACTTTATAGGTCAGGTGGTAATTCAGTGTTTAATGGTGCTTCCCCTGTGCAGTACTTCCTTATCAGCAAGGGAAGGAATTACCTTTTCAGCATCCTTCACACATAGGGTGATGCACATTAAAGAAAGCTGTTGGAGAATAGCTTGGGATTGGGAATCCCAATTGGGATTCTAGTTGGGTTTATGGTCTCTTGGCTGTTCTCTCTTATAAATTAATTTAGTGTAATTTTCCTGTATCAAAAGACATTCAAGTTTTCCTGAAATACCCTGCTCTTGGGATTTTTGCAAGAACAGACACCACACACAGACACCCTCGTCAAAGATTCCATTCACTGTCTCTCAAACAAACCTGCCTAAATAATCAAAACATATTAAGAGCATCAACATTACAGAATGCTAAAAGCAACTCTTCTTCAAGAGCTTTCATGGCAGCACCAAATTATTAATTTGGATTAACTGAACTGACCTTTTGTATTTCTTGGAAGCTTCTGAGCCAAATGCAGCTGGATAACATTTGAGATTGGGAGAAAAGGGTCAACAAATTGTAAGAACTCACTTACTTGTTATTATTTTTCAATGCAGATATTAAAAATAAACTAATATAAGGCAAACCAAAACACAGGCAATGTAGCTGTCATGCTTCCATACCTGAGGAGTTGAAGCAGTAGACATGAAATGTTTGGAGGTGGTCAGCGTTCCATCGCACTAGTCCAGTTTTGCCCTTACCGCATTTGTTGTTGGGTGTTGTCCGAGGAATAACAACAAATCCATCTTTCACCCATCCAAAGCTACAATACAAAGCATCAGTCCTGTTAGTATTAGACTTATCACCAGCCTCACAGATGTGTAAAGGTGTTCACTAAAGGCAATAAGCCACTAACTGATATACCTGCACGTTTGAAAGTCATGTTTCAAAGCATTTTCAACTTGGTCTTTACTTGCCAATTGTAGATTCAGTTGATCACATGCATTACTTGCTTCTGAGAAATTCACTTTCTTCTCAAGATAAAGTCCTACACCTGTGATCCTGCAAAGTGACTGAATGGAACCTGCAATTAAGCCATAAAATATTCAGGGTTAGTATTTGAATATTAACATTTATTCCTCATGAAGAATTTAAGATCACATTTAACTGAATTGAACATTTTTTAACGTTTCTAGCTTGAGGATAGTAGAAAACTGATTTCTAGTATAAACGACATATTTTAAGACAGAACATATTTTTTGACTCATTAGTCTAGAATTTCAAGAGGTTTGGCTGTTATTAGACTGAATGCATATACAGGCTTATTTATTTCCTTTTTTTTTCTAATAAATTAAAACTAGCAGTTGCATTGAGGCACTGATTTGTCATAACACCCTTCTTATCAAGATGATAAGGTATATAATATCAAAAATATTACACATAATTTCTCAGGGAGTTAATATAGCAATCATAAAACATAAAGATTTTATCATTCCTGGTGTTCCTTATTCCTCCTAAACTCTTTTTTCTTTTTTTCCCTAGCTTGGCATGATGCTTCCACCCCCAGACACTGTCAAGCGTTCAGTTTACAGAACTTGGCAGGAAAAGAGGACACAGGGTGGATTTATGACACTTTTCCAGGCAGTTCATCCAGCTTTTTAGATAGCCACAGCTGGCCCACTCTTTGTGACACCTGCACCAGCAAGTGCATAGCTTTGGTTACACCTGCTCTGCTTTCTTAGCCTCTGTTTAAGCACATAGGACAAAATTCGGGAAGTGGCACATGCAAGGAGAAAGGGTATTACTGTTTTGCCTCCATATCTCACTGGAAGCACATACTGGAAAAAAAGAGATTTTTTTTCTTTTTGAATTACATGCAGTAGTTGCCCTGCTAAATGAAACATTTCAGCTTTTCATTGCCAGCATGTCAGACAACCAGCAGCCACAGGTGTTACTTCCTTGCTCAATATGCTTGTCAGAGTATGCTCTCCAGGTGTGTACAATAACAAACACTTCACAAAATCTGTTTCAGAACACAGGCAATCCACAAACTCTCCAAAGCAGGCTGAAGTGACGCCTGCAAGTCCACCACGTGACTTCTTAGCAACACAAGTTAAATTGAATTTTATGAACGAAAAGACAGAACTGGCAGCCAAACCACCCTCATGATGAGGTGACTAAGCTTGTGTGGAGTGCTAAAAGACAGACAGGCTTTTAGCTCCTGCTCTCACAAACACTGGAGCAGGATCCTAGCCTGGCAGTTTTTAAGAGGCCCTGAACAAGGTGCTTTGACTTGGTCAGCCCTCGATTTGGTCAGGCAGTTGGACAGGATGATCATTCCCAGCTGAAAGAATTCTGCTCTATTCTATTCTATTCTATTCTATTCTATTCTATTCTATTCTATTCTATTCTATTCTATTCTATTCTATTCTGTGTTTGAGGGTTAAGTTTTCTTGATTCCCTTTTGCTAAAGGCGTCTCTTGAGAACTATTTCTGGTACCCTGAGTCCCTGTCTCAGCTGCTGAGGCACATCCACAGTTCCTCTCTCTCAATTTTTAATACCCTGCTCCTCCTCTGAGAGTTTATGCCTAGTTCCTTTCTTTTTTTACTTCTTCATGCTCTGACTTTACTCTTTCATTGCTCACTTAGTCAATTATTTTCCTATCTTTAGATTTGAAGAACACAACTTTTAAAAAAATGTGAAGTTGAGAATGAAAGTTTCTAATGACCAACTTTACAAATTTCAAATAAAGCTGAGCAGCTGACAGAAAGGAATTTAATGAAATCTTAGAAAATTATCTAGGTATTTGTAAACTGCTACAGTCTTTAGTAATTCAATTACAGGACAAATGTTTTTAATGTGGATTACATGGAGGATACAAAGCATAATATAAAAAATCAGTACCAGAAAATGAGGTTGTAAGTGATAATAAAGGTGACTCTAGGATATGGGCCAAAGTTGTACCTTAAAATTTGCTAAGCCTTTTAAAACAAAATGGTGAAGTAAAAGTTATGTTTTGTAAAAGTTATCAGATTCAGTCTAAATTCTGGATGGTTCCACAGTAGAAGAAGAAATCCAGAAAGAGAACAGTAGCCTCTAGTCTTTCTATGACTTCTTAAATCACCTCTGAGCTCTGTTCTAAAGATGTCTGAGTTTGTACAGGAGACAGATGAACTCTTCAGCAGCACATTATCCTTTTCTGTCTACAGGCTACACAGAGCTGTACTTTGAGCTTTGCTCTGCTTAGTTAACCTACTAATACTGGGACATTCTCCTCAGCATTTGGGTCTGGGGTGGAAAATCTGTTTTACTGAGATAAGTGGGAAGACTTAGACAAAAGAATCTCACAGCAAGACAAAGTGTTCATAGAACAGGAAGAAAATTGTTCAATTTTTACAAGCTATGGGTTTTGGCTTTGTTGTATGTTAGTTTCCTTCTAGTTTTTTTTTTGGGGGGGAAGCTGTTGTTTTTCTCTTTGCCTTGTGCCTAGCCTTCACTCTGATTTATTGGAAAGAATTTCCTTTGGCTGCCCATGTCAAGGAGAGGCAGGAATGAGGCTGTTCCACAAGGAAAGAGCGAGAAGCAGAGGACAGCACAGGCAGGGCAGTGCCCTCACTGACCAGGGCACAGTCCCACAGCACTGACCAGGACCACAGTGACAGTGGCAGGTTCCACTGGCAGCCCCAGAGAGAGCAAGACCATGAGTCAGACATCCAGAAAGTCCATTTGGGAACAGCAGAAGATGGTGGTACCTATGGCAGGTGCCTGCAGTCCATCCTGGAGACAAGGCTACCTACAGCCCAAATCCAGAGTACACCTGGGAAGCCCACTCAGCGAGTCACTAGAGCAGGGACATGACATGCTACAACACAGCTGGAGATCAGCCCTGAGCTGACCAAGCAGTGAGCACAGGGTGCCCGAGAAGGCACCCCAAGGGAGGGTACTCTCTTGGAGGGGAGCTGAGGGGCCTCCAAACAGCTGCAAAGAACAACACTCAAGCTCTCCAATGAAATTCCTGTGTCATTTCAATAGGATTTGATGTGAGCATCTAATTCACTCAGTCCAGGCTTCCTTCAGAAGTCTTTCAGTAGGTGACAAAGTCATTTGTCTGCAATAACTCTGTATGTTCTTTTACATAAGTAGAACAAGCATTTGCTCCTTGCAAATCACAGTGAAGCATCTGGAGACCTTTGATATAAATTGAGTATCTGCAGATATCCAGCAGCTACTGCAGTCAGAATACATTGCATCGAGTTGATGATGGAATTTGAAAGAGAACTGGTTTCATTCATGTTTTACTCTCTGAGGTTATATAAAACTGTTTCTCTGGTATTTTAAATAGCACAAAATAAAATTACATCTCCATGAATCTGATCTGAATCCTAAGTGCAATATCAAATGTTTAAAATATGCAGTTCTGTAGCATTTAGACAAAAATTCTTCAGTATTGACACAGCAATTAAATTAGACTAAAATTTAAATCATTATATATTAGTTGTCATTGGATTGTAGTCTCAAAACTCTGTGATTTCCTATGCCAGAAACACATTAGTACATGCACCCTTCCCCCCATTTTTGTAAATCTAGCTACCTTTTCCAAGACTTTAAAAAGTGGAACTTTACATACCTGTTACAAAGTAGTTTTGAGCCATGAATGTCATAACCCAGATGAAAAACACTGCTGAGGTAACTCCAAAATTAGTTGCCATTGTCACCAACTTGAAAAATTCAGGAAATTAAAGAACTCAAGGTGGTTGGTTTCTCCTGTGCTCAGAAAGTTAAGGTACTGGATACTGTCAGAGCTCTGCTGAGATGACTTCTGGAAAGCAACTTCAGCTGTCACTGCAGTGCTTCATAGAAAGAATGTCAGAGCAAATGCATTGACTGTGCCACTCACAGGCGAGGTCACTCACCGGAAATCCCCAGTCACCCTTTACACTGCCTTTCATGTAGGGATTGCTGGAAAATTTAACTACTGCTGATTCAGAAAACAGGGCTGAGGAAGGGAGATAAGACTGTTGGGCTGCTAAGTCAGTAAACACTTCGAAAGAAGTTTTTCTTTTGCTATTTTTTCCTTTTTTTTTTTTTTACTGATTATCAGCTCATTATTCATGTTATCTATTCATCTGGTAAATAAATCAAATCCTCTATTGTATCACAGCATGCCAGGGTGGATTTTCCTTTTGGTTATTGCATCCACTCCCCACTATCTTATATGTCTTGATGGAGTAGTTTTACTGTTTTTTCCCTTAGAGTTCAAATGCACAAAGAGTTACCATAACACAGAGGTAACTGAAACCTAGTTTTGAACAGATTTGGAGATCCACTACCGTCAATGAGATTCCATGTGGGACTGTAGGTACGGAGGTGGGAGCCAGTCCCATCACTGCCGCCTTATGTGAAGTTCCAACAAACAGTGATTTCCACAGATTGGTTCAAAACACAGATGATCCTCACAGCTGTAACTGCTTCAGGAAGTCCTAGCAGAGAAATTATTTTCCATTTCAGAGATTCCTACAGACACAGAGCAGGAAAGGGGTTCCAGAGATGAGCTAGCTCCTTTACTGTCAGTCATATCAGTTCTATCTCTGTTAGTTCTGACAGATGTTTGTTTAAGTTGTTCTCAAAGACTTCCAGTGACAGGTTCCTGACATGTCCTCAAACACTCTCTATATATTTCAGTGCTCCACTGTCCTTTACTGTTCAAAGGTATTCCCTACTCTAAACTGACTTAGTCATACCCTGCTGTAAACTTATCACTGGCAGTGAACTGGAAAATAGTTTATTCCCTCACGTTTTGCAACTATCTTATGTATTTAAAGAGTTATGCCTCTGCTCCCACTTTTCTTTCAGCTCAGAAACCCCTGCTGGCTCGCTCTGTGTCTCCATGTGAGGCCTTGCCAATGCCAAGCACTGATGAATAAATTGCTTTACCTGCTTACAGAGTTCAGAATTGTGTGAGCCTTTTTCTTTCTTTTTTTTTTTTTTGCAACAGGATGGTTTTGTTACATCACGTTCAATTTGTGACTCGGCAAACTTTTAGATGCCCTGTGTCCCCAGGCTGTTTTCAAAGTCCTGGAAACACAAATGTAACAGTAGCTACCTCTTTAAACTGTGGTTTGTATTGTAGAAAGTTCCCACAATATATTAAGGCAATATTAACTTTTAACTGGGCCCAGGCCCAGTCTCCTCCAGCAGCATGTAACATGGTTATGATGTGACACGGTGTTCTGTAACACAGACAGGCATCTACAGGGCCTAAGGAGAACAGGAGAATGCTGTGGGTTAGTGAAATAATGTCTCCATCAGCAACAAAGAAATGAAAATTGGGTTGTGTTTGGGCTGTGGTTTGGAACTGAATGTTAGTAAAGCTCCTTGCTCCAGTTTCTCTCCCCTCCTTTCTTGTTCTGTACTAACCTGCCTCTACAAAGGGATAGCAATGTGAGATGCTGTAATCAGACTTCACTCACTTGGAGCAGGTTGTAAGTGGATTCACTTGCATTTACAATGCAGGAGGAGAAAAGTAGACTGTGGCTGTAAAACACTGAGAACATTAAACAAAATCTTACCATCTTCACGCTTAACTTGAATTGCAAAGTATTTCCTACCATGAAAACTAATCAAGAGCTGGGTTTCTGACATTTTAAAATTGCATGCTAATTGTTCTGCCAAGTTTTAACACTTTGTGTCTACTACGCTCACTAAGTTCCTTCAGTCAAACTCAGTCTATGCTCTTGATCTTTAGTAGGACTTTTAGCTGAAAAAAGGAGATAAACACCTTTGCAAAACCAAACAAAAATATAAGCTGCTTCACATGGTCTTGTAAGAGCAGAACACAGATTAGGAGAGGGAGAAAAGAATTTTAGAGTGATGAAGTGAGACAGAAATAACTACTTTTTTGTCAGCTTCTTCCTTTTTGTATTTCAGCTGTTCTAAAACTGTGTGGAAGATCACTTATCTGGACTGTAACAGTACAAAAGGTCCTTAACCTTCTTCTGTGTCTTCATCATAATTAGTGTGGTGAAAAAGAGCGCAGACTTATACAGAATGATTAATTAGTGTTTGACCTAAATACTTGTAGTAACTTATAAGAAAATTTCCCAGCCTCTCATACCAGCACGTTTTAAAATGCTGATGAGGGTTGCTAAACAGAAAACTTTTCATATGGGAGGACAGAATTAACTATTCTCTGCAATCATTTCCAAAGGAACCTTGAAACCTGAACAGCAGGAGAGGAAACACATTTATGCAGAAAACACAAATGTCAGGGGCTTTCCATGGTAACTGTAATTCCTTTCGAGGTTGTCGCTGTCCCAGAGTTTTTCTCCCTGTCACTGACCATCAGAGATTCAGAAGCTGAGCACTGGCTCCTCCCCACTGGACAGCTCTCCACAAAGCCCAGGCTTCCCCGACCTCCCAGGTCTAGCAGGACACAAAGCAAATAAAGAATCCTAACCTTGCGCTCAGAATCCTTTGGTTACAGATTCCCCCGTGGCTGTCCATGGGCAGTGACTCGTGGCCTCCCTCTGAAGCAGGTGCTAAACTCTCTCCAGGATATTTCAGCTTCCTCTCTCATCTTGTTTCTAGGATGTGACAGGGATGACCCTGCTCACAAACACTCTCTCTACTGACACAGGAATTCTCTTGCTTCTTCTATGTAATTTTCCTGGAGAAACTGGAAAACTAAGAACAAGATCCTTGGTAGAGGTAACACGCTGCAGTGTGGACAAGGCAGGAGGTATTTCAGGAGAACACAGCCAGCAACGTGCAGACAGAGCACAGGCAAAACCCACATCCTTAAGGTGACAACACTGAGGACTTTGAAACCATACTTTTATTTCAAAACTCAAGTATGTGATACTATACAGTACAATACCAGCACACTTGTGCAAAATCTTACAATATTACAAATTTAAATATGATACACAAAAATAGTGCCCTTTTGAAATTCCTTTCACTAGAAACATTTGTGCTGTGCAGGAAAAACAATAAATGTGTCTTGTTAAAGCAGAAAAATAAATATTGCACCTCAAGAAAACTATTTCAGTGTTAATAGCATAAATAATAGTTCTATTTCTTGTTATCTGATGTGATCTTTGAACACAGAAGAGGTTGTTGGGGTTTTTTTCCAGATAAAGCAAACTAATATCCAACAAATAAAATAACATTTAGAATAGTTTTTGAGCTTAATCTAAATTCCTATTAAAAAAGGTGTTTTCATTAAACTAACTGAAAAATATAAGCAAAACTATTTACTGTGCTGTTAGTCATTGTGGTTTGTTATTTTTAGTGGACGGTTTGCTCAAAGTAGTTATAAAAAGAGCAATTTTTTTAAAAATAAATTTTATCTTCATTTTTGCACCCTCATTAAAATCTTGTCTCCTTCAGTAGATTCCCCACAAGAAAGCAAAAACTTTGTGGTGAAATTACACTTGCCTTAGACATGCAAGTAGTTCAGTTCAAATCAGTACAACTACTTGTGGGAATTGGCCCTGGAGCACTGATTCCACAAAAAGCCAGTGTGCTGAATCTCAAGAGAGGATGGAGACCTCGTTCACCCACTGACCAAAAAAGCTTTAACACATGCTTAACATTAAGCAGTTTGAGAGTTCTGTTGACCTCAATATCTTTCTATGTGTACTTAAAATAAGTTGTTGGGCTCACATCAGTGAAGATGTAAATAAAAGTGAATTAATTCGATTATAGGCACTGATAATTATTTTTTTTCAGTGCAGCCCACCATGTCCACAATCACATAATCAAACATGCACCATAATTTCTGGCACAGAGAATTCTTAATATTCAGAACTATTTCCCTTCAATTTTTAATGCCTTATTAAGCACGTCATTTGTAAAGAATATTAAGTTAAAGAAGCTGATTTTAATCAAGAAGTGTTCAAAGAACAACTGACAAGTTTCTTCAAATACTGAAAGTACGTGAAATATCACAGTAGTTCTTCACAGTCAGATATTCTAACTGAACCAAACAGATTCCAAGTAATTTGCAAGAAACCTTCTTCTGTCTTATTCTTTACCAATTACAATTTTAGACCAAATGACACTTTCCCATTTTCCTTTTTGAACTTCCTTAAGCACACTATTCCTCAATAATATATACTTTAAAACACAAAACCCCTCTCCCAACTGCTTACAGACTCTCTCATTCCCCATTGCCCCTAAAAACAAAGTGGTTGTGGTCTGCTTTTTTAATTTTTTTTATTTTTCTTTTCCTTCTCTTTTCTATAAATGTCTCCTAAGAAACGTATAGTTAAAGATGTAACAAACAAAAATTCACCAGCAGGATACTCATTACTAGTGCCAGATACGTGAATTAAATTGCTGACTGAGTTAGGAACCTTTTATCTTTGACAGTTAGCTTGAGGTTCAGTGTTTACACCAGAAGAAAACAGGACACTATTATCTGCATCTGAACTGAAATTACAGTACTTCATAACACCCTTATCCTTCAGTTGGTGAACAGACCCATTTCTCAGTCAGAAAATGCCAGAAGAATGCAAGGTAGGAGTGCAATCAAGTGTCACAATGACTTTGATATTGTGGCTGTAGCTATGGAAAGACAGTCACAGCTCACCTTCAGTCAGAAGTGATGTTCAGCAGGTACATAAGGTACACCCTCAGTGACACACATTTTGGTCTCAGCCCTAGCTGGTGGGTTTTTTACAGATAATGGCTTCAGCATTTTGAAGTTGCTTATCTAAGAATTTCAGGCTTTCACATTCTTGTGTAAGAACTCCCAACTCCCAGATAGGCAGAACTGCAAAAGATGAATCTCTCATCAGCTGGCAGTTGAGCTTTGGAAGTGTATTGGATCATTTGTATACCTGGCATCAGGTTCTGAAAATGAACTACTGAAAACACACACTGAGCTTTCTGAACTCCTCACTGCTTCCCTGTCCTGAT